ATGCCTTGTATTTTGGTTTGGGAAAAAGTCTGACACTAAAAGTGCTGTAACAGGCAGAGTTTTCACGGCAGGAACATGAAATTTGAAAGAGCACAACTTCAGATGGTTGCGAATATTCAGTGCAAATTGCAACTTTACATCTCTAATAGTTTCCGAACGGCAGCCCGTCAAAGTTTTGGTCTTAACCCCAACCTGTGCAGCGAGACTGTATAGGACCGTATAGGCTGGGGGCTGACCCACACCCTCATCTTTGAATGGCCATAACTCGGCTAATATGGACCCCAGAGGTATGATTTTTGCATCGAATGAAAGTTGAACATGTCCTTCGTCTATTTCCATCGGAAAGAGAAATTCGAACTTTTTGAAAACTTTCGAGAAAATCGACTTTGAAGATTCACCCTTATTTTCAAGAGGAAAATCGCTTGTATTTTGGTTTCGGAAAAAGTCTGACACTAAAAGTGCTGTAACAGGCAGAGTTTTCACGGCAGGAACTTGAAATTTGGGAGAAAACAACTTCAGATGGTTGCAAATATTCAGTACAAATTGCAACTTTACATCTCTGATAGTTTCCGAACGGCAGTCCGTCAAAGTTTTGGTCTTAACCCCAACCTGTGCAGTGAGACTGAATAGGACCGTATAGGCTGGCGGCTGACCCACACCCTCATCTTTGAATGGCCATAACTCGGCTAATATGGACCCCAGAGGTATGATTTTTGCATCGAATGAAAGTTGAACATGTTCTGCGTCTATTTCCATCGGAAAGATAAATTCGGACTTTTTGAAAACTTTCGAGAAAATCGACTTTGAAGATTCACCCTTATTATCAAGAGGAAAATCGCTTGTATTTTGGTTTCGGAAAAAGTCTGACACTGAAAGTGCTGTAACAAGCAGAGTTTTCACGGCCGGAACTTGAAATTTGGAAGAAAACAACTTCAGATGGTTGCGAATATTCAGTGCAAATTGCAACTTTACATCTCTGATAGTTTCCGAACGGCAGCCCGTCAAAGTTTTGGTCTTAACCCATACCTGTGCAGCGAGACTGTATAGGACCGTATAGGCTGGGGGCTGACCCACACCCTCATCTTTGAATGCCCATAACTCGGCTAATATGGACCCCAGAGGTATGATTTTTGCATCGAATGAAAATTGAACATGTCCTGCGTCTATTTCCATCGGAAAGATAAATTTGAACTTTTTGAAAACTTTCGAGAAAATCGACTTTGAAGATTCACCCTTATTTTCAAGAGGAAAATCGCTTGTATTTTGGTTTTGGGAAAAAGTCTGACACTAAAAGTGCTGTAACAAGCAGAGTTTTTACGGCAGTAACTTGAAATTTGGGAGAAAACAACCTCAGATGGTTGTTAATATTCAGTGCAAATTGCAACTTTACATCTCTAATAGTTTCCGAACGGCAGTCCGTCAAAGTTTTGGTCTTAACCCCAACCTGTACAGCGAGACTGTATAGGACCGTATAGGCTGGGGGTTGACCCACACCCTCATCTTTGAATGGCCATAACTCGGCTAATATGGACCCCAGAGGTATGATTTTTGCATCGAATAAAAGTTGAACATGTCATGCGTCTATTTCCAGCGGAAAGAGAAGTTCAGATTTTTTGAAAACTTTCGAGAAAATCGACTTTGAAGATTCACCCTTATTTTCATGAGGAAAATCGCTTGTATTTTGGTTTGTGAAAAAGATTGACACTAAAAGTGCTGTAACAGGCAGAGTTTTTACGGCAGGAACTTGAAATTTGGAACAGAACAACTTCAGATGGTTGCGAATATTCAGTGCAAATTGCAACTTTACATCTAAGATAATTTCAGAACGGCAGCCCGTCAAAGTTTTGGTCTTAACCCCAACCTGTGCAGTGAGACTGTATAGGACCGTATAGGCTGGGGGCTGACCTCACCCTCATCTTTAAATGGCCATAACTCGGCTAATATGGACCCCAGAGGTATGATTTTTGCATCGAATGAAAGTTGAACATGTCCTGCGTCTATTTCCATCGGAAAGAGAAATGCGGACTTTTTGAAAACTTTCGAGAAAATCGACTTTGAAGATTCACCCTTATTTTCAAGAGGAAAATCGCTTGTATTTTGGTTTTGAGAAAAAGTCTGACACTAAAAGTGTTGTAACAGGCAGTTATTTTACGACAGGAACTTGAAATATGAAACAGAACAACTTCAGATGGTTGCGAATATTCAGTGCAAGTTGCAACTTTACATCTCTGATAGTTTCCGAACGCCAGCCCGTCAAAGTTTTGGTTTTAACCCCAACCTGTGCATCGAGACTGTATAGGATCGTATAGGCTGGGGGCTGACCCGCACTCTCATCTTTAAATGGCCATAACTCGGCTTATATGGACCCCAGAGGTATGATTTTTGCATCGAATGAAAGTTGAACATGTCCTGCGTCTAATTCCATCGGAAAGAGAAATTCTGACTTTTTGAAAACTTTCGAGAAAATGACTTTGAAGATTCACCCTTATTTTCATGAGGAAAATCGCTTGTATTTTGGTTTGGGAAAAAGTCTGACACTAAACGTGCTGTAACAGAAAGAATTTTCACGGCAGGAACTTTCAATTTGGAAGAGCATAACTTCAGATGGTTGCGAATATTCAGTGCAAATTGCAACTTTACATCTCTGATAATTTCCGAACGGCAGCCACTCAAAGTTTTGGTCTTAACCCCAACCTGTGCAGTGAGACTGTATAGGACCGTATAGGCTGGGGGCTGACCCACACCTTCATCTTTAAATGGCCATAACTCAGCTTATATGGACCCCAGAGGTATGTATTTTACATCGAATGAAAGTTGAACATGTCCTGCGTCTATTTACATCGGAAAGAGAAATTCGGACTATTTGAAAACTTTCGAGAAAATCGACTTTGACGATTAACCCTTATTTTCAAGAGGAAAATCGCTTGTAGTTTGGTTTCGGAAAAAGTCTGACACTAAAAGTGCTGTAACAGGCAGAGTTTTCACGGCAGGAACATGAAATTTGGAAGAGTACAACTTCAGATGGTTGCGAATATTCAGTGCAAATTGCATCATTACATCTCTGATAGTTTCCGAACGGCAGCCCGTCAATGTTTTGGTCTTAACCCCAACCTGTGCAGCGCGACTGTATAGGACCGTGTAGGCTGGGGGCTGACCCACACCCTCATCTTTAAATGGCCATAACTCGGCTAATATGGACCCCAGAGGTATGATTTTTGCATCGAATGAAAGTTGAACATGTCCTGCGTCTATTTCCATCGGAAAGAGAAATTCGGTTTGGGAAAAATCTACAAACTCTATTTCAACCAATATGAAAAACTCAAGAGGATATTAAAAAGAAATTAGCTTTAGAATATATACCCACGCCACGTATAGAACCTACGGCTCATATAGATCACCCCGAACCGATTGAATATAGTGGTATTATAATTTGGATGATTAGATGATATAAATCGTCTCTTTTCAAACCCTAAAGCAGATTTACCAAAGAGCATTTAACCAATTCTGGTTGTCTGGAGCCTAATTTTACTTCGTGGTTATCTTCCTTTAGAATTCACATAGTCTTCATGTGTGATAATCGAGTCTAGTTTCAAGGTCACTGACGTCATAATTTGTAGACGTCATTGCTAGGTCAAGAATAAGAAGGTCAAAATAGGCCTAGCGCATTAGTAAAGATTCAAGGACCACTTTGGGATAAACAGGCCTAAAAATTCGGTAATATTCTGGTTTAATATTTTCTCCATTTAAAGATGTATGTATTGCAAATGAAAACGTCAGATTCGTATGCAAAAAGTAGAAAACCAGTCCTTGTCGGCGCAAAAATTAGCACTTCCGGTTTGACATGCGCATAAGATATAAACATAAGCCATCATAGTGACGTTAGTTGTAAGTGTTTAAGTTTTATGGTAAATAGTTTATTTTTGTTTGTAAATAGTGTGAATTATTGTTATTTCAGTCAATCATCAAGAGCCTCATAAAAGCCAAGAGTTAGAAGTAGTAGATAATATTAATAGTGGCTGGAGACTTTCTTATGCATTGGCAGCAATTAGTGACTGTTTATTACGCCGTTAGATAAATTGATATTTAGAATAATTACTTTTTTTTTTATACAACGAATATAGTTTGTGGTCGCTATAATGATGAATACGAAGTTGACGAAGCGGGTGATTATGCCGAAGACAATCCAATCATACAAGAAATAGACGAATTCGAAGATATGGTATCTGGACAAGATATAACGTTTTTATCCGACAACAACGAGGAACTACTTAATAGATTACAAATAATATTAGCGGCATTGAAGAAAGGTCATCGATCACACAGACAATATAATGAAAATTGTATATAAATATAAATTTAATAAGACTCCTACAGAATGGTATCATAGATAAAAATGCTTATAAAAGCGTGATTAAAAATGTCATATAAAGAACAACTATTCGTTATCACCTCAAATAAATCAGACATTAAATTGATGTTTTATTTGACTTTTGGCGCTAAATATAAACCATATATAATTCCACCATCACCGTAATCATTCTTTCCTTTACAATAATCATTTTCAGATACCAACCCAGCTTCATTTAATTTATCCCAGTTGCTAGATGAAATGTATAAACTATCAGTATCTGTATAGTATATTTGCGGCTTATAAAATCCATCTATTACGTGAATAAAATTATTAATTATTTTTTCACTGTGGGATAATACGAATGACCCCAAATGACTAGGTGTTAGTCGTGTATATTAGGAGGTATACAGTCAAATTCTTCTTCATTTATCTCAACGATATATTGAGTCTCATTTACTTTAGGATAGCTTTTGACATGTGAATCGAAGTTGGCTGTAGTTATATCCTTCTGAATAGATTTACCATACAAGGAATTACCTAATAATTTCATGCAGTTACTACCCACAATATTACCGTTTCGTTTATATTTATTTCTTAGATCTCTCATAATTAAAATATAATCTCTATATGGTGGAGTTTTAAAATTTTTTCATATACTATACCATCTAATAATTCGTCTACCAGATTTAACTATTTCTTGAATATCGACCGATGTTAAAACATCTGAACAGAAACCATTTCTAAACCTGATTTCAGTTCCAGTTTCCTTATTACCTTCTTTGTTCGTAAAAGTAATTTTATCTTTAGCTGGTATGGGTTGGAAGAACATGTTAGTAGGATATTCAAACCAGACTTTTAAAATAGCTGTTCTAAGTCTGAATTTCTGCGCATTAAGCAGCTTAACAAATTCTTTATTTTCTTCTTGTAGAAGCGGTCTACCACTTTCCGCTTTAGGATATTCGCTGTCTAAATTTGACATGGCGGAAGCATACAAACCATTGGCGTCGAACGCCATTAGTTTAGTACATTTTATTTTTTTAAGTTTTGAACAACTTCCGTTTTAACTTTATTCTTACTATATTCTTTAAATAAATCAATTATATAACTACTCTCGAGTTCTGTGTATTCCTTTAATACATTACAAATTTCATCCATTTTATTCGTTTCAAATGATTTTCTGTTAGCAGAAACTCTTCCTCCTTAAATGGATTGTCTGATAAAATATCTTATAAAAGGGTGTGTATGTGAGTAAACTTTTTCTATATTTTCTTTGGAACCATTCTAGTAGTTTCATACCATTCTTCTTCAACCATTTCTTTATGGTAATGATATAAATAATACCAACCCTTTAAAGATAGAGAAGGAGCCGTTAGATTATTGGAAATATTCTGGAATACAACTTCTTTCATAACTTTGTTATATTTTATCAAACAAGCTCCAAGACATAACGTATCACTTTTAGCATAAGGTTCCCATTCGTGTCTTAAAGATTCCCAATTATCTTCATCTATGATATTTGATAAAAATTATGACTTTATTTCAGCTGTGATAATTGATAAAAATGATGACTTTATTTTAGCTGTGATAATTGATAAAATTGAAGACTTGATTTCAGCTATGATATTTGATAAAATTGAAGACTTGATTTCAGCTGTGATAATTGATAAAAATGATGACTTTATTTCATCCATGATATTTGATAAAAATAATGACTTTTTTCAGCTGTGATAATTGATAAAAATGATGACTTTATTTCACCTATGATATTTGATAAAAAATGATGACTTTATTTCATCTATGATATTTGATAAAAAATGATGACTTTATTTCATCTATTATAATTGATGAGAAATTATGACTTTATTTCAGCTATCATATTTGATAAAAATAATGACTTAATTTCAGCTATGATAATTGATAAAAATGATGACTTTATTTCAGAATGATAGAATGCATGTTACGGAAGATTTATATGAAAAGTGATAAAGTGTTAGTAGTGGAGAGAAATTTTTCGTTGATCGTTACGATTGGAAATGGTATGTGACGTGGCGCGTTATTTATCAGGTTAGGTCAACGGTTAATCTGACGAACGTTCAAGAGGGATGTCGTTAGACCCTATCTGAAGTGGTTATATTATTGATAAAAGCTAATAAAAAAAGGAACGATAGTTTGGTCTAAACATATATAGACTGCCAATTTGGCGCTCTGTTGTATTTTCCAGTTTAATACTATAAGTTAAGATATTAATTACAGTTTTCTGTTAATGGAAATTAATTCAATTTCACAGAATTAACCGAATCTATTCAAGAAAATAGACTGCCAGACGAAAAGCTCCTGTGACAGCTTCGTCTCGTGAAACGCTGTCACACAGTCAGTGAAACCCTGTCACAGAGTTTAGCGAAACCCTGTCACACTGTCTAGTGAAACCCTGTCACACAGTCTTATGAAACCCTGTCACACAGTCTAGTGAAACCCGTCATAATGTCAAGTGAAACCCTGTAGTATAACTTGGGTGCAAACCATTTTCTACCTCCACTGGCGCCGCATGAAGCATTATTAATCATTACATTTTATATATCAATAAATAGTGAAACTCTGTCAAAGAGTCTCGCTAAACCCTGTAACAGAGTCTCGTGAAACCCTGTCACAGAGTCTCGTAAAACCCTGTCACAGAGTCTAGCGAAACCCAGTCGCACTGTCTAGTGAAACCCTGTCACAGAGTCTAGTGAAATCCCTGTCACACAGTCTAGTGAAACCCTGTCATATTTCAACATTACACAATTACAAAATAAACCTTCCTAAAATCAAAAAGTCAACGTACTTATTACAAAGTAGAGATATTGATAGTTTACTTTTCAAACTTTATTTCACATCAGACAACATTCAAACTTTCCTTTACGAAAATGAATTCTTAACTTTGCATTATTGACATTATCAACAATGTCTTCCTGACTTTGCATTCGTGAAAGATGTAAGTTCGACCACTGTATTCTTGAGAGTTGTCAACTGTAATGATTCTATTCATTACACGACTTTTTAGTGGTTTCATTTGAATAAGAAATGAATTACAAATTTTTACAATTACAATCAATCCAAAAAATTAGTGTATCCATCGGCCACAAAAATTGGCCGGCCACTGAAGTAATGACGAAGTGTCAATTGACCAATGACTCATTTGAACATCCGGTTTTGAGGCTTATTTAGAGTTAAATCCCTTTGACAATGAGCAATTATTGATTTATATTTCCGTTAGTTTCCGTGAATTTCCGGATTATGTAAATGAAGTAGGTCACGTTACCTTATATGGTAAACGTTCAAGAATGCAGAACTAAAGAATAAAGAATATAGTTGTCGAACTTACATCTTTCACGAATGCAAAGTCAGGAAGACATAGTTGATAATGTCAATAATGCAAAGTTAAGAAATCATTTTCGTAAAGGAAAGTTTGAATGGTGTCTGATGTGAAATAAAGTAAAGTAAAGTATCAATATCTCTACTTTGTAACAAGTACATTGACTTTTTATACGCCCACATGAATATGTGGTCGTATATTGTCGTCGCCCCTGTCCGTCGGTCCGTCCGTCAACATTTCTTGTGAGCACTATAGAGACTACAGTTTTTATCTGATTTTGATAAAACTTGGTGTGATGCTTTAGATTGATAAGATCTCGGTCAAGTTCGAATTTGACAAATTTTCGATGAACGGTTTTTGAGATATTGCCCTTGACTTAGAACGCCTTGAAATTTGTTCAAAATTGTTCGTGATCAGGATTGAAGCTACAGTTTTCATCCGATTCTGATGAAACTTGGTGTGATCATTGGAATTCACAAGATCTCGGACAAGTTCTAACTTGACGCATTTTCGATGAACGGTTTTTGAGTTATTGCCCTTGACTTTGTTAAAACGCGTCGAAATTTGTTCAAAATAGTTCGTGAGCAGGATTGAAGCTACAGTTTTCAACCGATGCTGATGAAACTTGGTGTGATCATTGGAATTGATAAGATCTCGGACAAGTTCTAATTTGACGCATTTTCGATGAACGGTTTTTTAGTTATTGCCCTTGACTTTGTTAAAACGCGTCGAAATTTGTTCAAAATAGTTCGTGAGCAGGATTGAAGCTACAGTTTTCAACCGATTCTGATGAAACTTGGTGTGATCATTGGAATTGATAAGATCTCGGACAAGTTCTAACTTGACGCATTTCTGATGAACGGTTTTTGAGTTATTGCCCTTGACTTTGTTAAAACGCGTCGAAATTTGTTAAAAATAGTTCGTGAGCAGGATTGAAGCTACAGTTTTCAACTGATTCTGATGAAACTTGGTGTAATCATTGGAATTGATAAGATCTCGGACAAGTTCTAACTTGACGCATTTTCGATGAACGGGTTTTGAGTTAATGCCCTTGACGTTGTAAAAACACATCAAAATTTGTTAAAAATAGTTCGTGAGCAGGATTGAAGCTACAGTTTTCAACCGATTCTGATGAAACTTGGTGTGATCATTCGAATTGATAAGATCTCGGACAAGTTCTAACTTGACGCATTTCCGATGAACAGTTTTTGAGTTATTGCCCTTGACTTTGTTAAAACGTGTTGAAATTTGTTAAAAATAGTTCGTGAGCAGGATTGAAGCTACAGTTTTCAACCGATTCTGATGAAACTTGGTGTGATCATTGGAATTGATAAGATCTCGGACAAGTTCTAACTTGACGCATTTTTGATGAACGTTTTTTGAGTTATTGCCCTTGACTTTGTTAAAACGTGTTGAAATTTGTTAAAAATAGTTTGTGAGCAGGATTGACGCTACAGTTTTCAGCCGATTCTGATGAAACTTGGTGTGATCATTCGAATTGATAAGATCTCGGACAAGTTCTAATTTGACGGTTTTTGAGTTATTGCCCTTGACTTTGTAAAAACGCGTCAAAATTTGTTAAAAATAGTTCGTGAGCAGGATTGACGCTACAGTTTTCAACCGATTCTGATGAAACTTGGTGTGATCATTGGAATTGATAAGATCTAGGACAAGTTCTTATTTGACACATTTTCAATGAACAGTTTTCGAGTTATTGCCCTTGACTTTGTAAAAACGCGTCAATATTTGTTAAAAATAGTTGTGATGGATTGAAGCTACAGTTTTCAACCAATTCTGATGAAACTTGGTGTGATCATTGGAATTAATAAGATCTCGGACAAGTTCTAACTTGACGCATTTTCGATGAACAGTTTTTGAGTTATTGCCCTTGACTTTGTTAAAATGCGTCGAAATTTGTTAAAAATAGTTTGTGAGCAGGATTGACGCTTCAGCTTTCAACCGACTCTGATGAAACTTGGTGTGATCATTGGAATTGATAAGATCTCGGACAAGTTCTAACTTGATGCATTTTTGATGAACGGTTTTCGAGTTATTGCCCTTGACTTTGTAAAAACGCGTCAAAATTTGTTAGTGAGCACAATAGAAGCTACAGTTTTCAACCGATTCTGATGATTGGTGTGATCATTGGAATTGATAAGATCTCGGACAAGTTCTAACAAGAGATATTTTTGATGAACATTTTTTTAGTTATTGCCCTTGACTTTGTAAACAGGCGTCAAAAGTTGTTTTTTGCCCTTTATTAGAGCTGTGTGATTTAATTGTTTGTTGTATTTGGGTTATTGATATTGATTCAGCATAAATAATTTCTTCAATATGAGAAAATTTGTACTTTAGTCACTAAAGACTGTTTTATTATTTCTGACAGCTGCCAGTGGGCGTATGCAACCTATCTTTGATTTTAGGAAGGTTTATTTTGTAATTGTGTAATGTTGAAATATAACTTTGTAAAGTCGAGGCCTTGTTTTCAAGTTTGACTTTGTAAATACTTCTGGCAACGACCCCCCTCCATACCTGTAGTGCAACCCTGTAGTATAACTGGGGTGCAAACCATTTTCTACCTCCATTGGCGCCGCATGAAGTATTATTAATCATTACATTTTATCTATCAATAAATAAACATAACTTAAACAATACATTTAACC